GGGTTCTCAGAACGCCCGCTCCAGTTGCGGAAAAAGAGGCGAACCCTATGTATTATATTATATGTATGTAACTTAACTTATAATTACTCAATATAGGTTTATGCACATTAGGTATCAAAAACAATCATGAACCACTACAATATGTATGTATATATGGCGTCTGCTTTCACCTCAAATTCGCACACCAAAGCAAACCAGAAACAATGTGCACAACACATTGCAAATACCAATAAAAACTATAGAGGTAAACATTTGTGGGGTGGGTACCATATATACATGTAATATATCTATCTGATTTTTTAAATGTATTATATATATATATATGTATATCTATTTTAAAATAGGACAAACTCCATATTTGCATCGACAGTTGCTGAGGTTTTCCTTCCACTGACTTTTCCTCAATCTCTCGCCTTCCCAATGAGGTGCCCGATCCCTTGTCCTCGCCCCGAAGAAGGCCGCAACTGATTGACGGCCCTGAGCAATTGAATCGAATTCTACGTGTTGAGGCACTGGCCGACACAGTCTGAGCACGATTTCAGTATCCAGTGTCCCAATCTCTGCTTTTGTCAAGCATTGGGTTGAACTTGCAAGCAATTTGTGCGCCCAGGATGAAGAGGAAATCAGGGGTCGGCTCAGTCAGGCGAAAGACTTCTACTCAAGTGGTACAAAGAAGCAGACAGCATCAACAAAATCAGTTTCAGGAGCTTTGTCAACAAAATATTGGCAAAGAGAATGATCAGGTTCGGACTCTCAAGAAGCAACACTTGGGTCATCCATCCATGTCGCACATTTTACTTGTGGTTGCCACACAGTACTGTCGAGATTAGTCAATTGCAGGCTCTTTCCAATAGAGATGCTCAGGCACCAAGCTGTTTTTTGCTCAATTCCTCAAAGATGCTAGAACTTGGCAGGAGACGATCCCATTCAGTGAAGGCGGAATAGAGTAGCCAACCGGAAATTGTGCAGTAATTTCATTGCCAGGCCAGGACCATCCATCGCACTGTGACCCTGAGCTTCAGGTTTTTCAAGATTTGAGTGGCTAGCGGCTAGTTACTAGTTCCTTACTTGTTTGCAAGTCTCCGAGCTCTTTTGCGCATGGTATCTCCTCACATTCCGACTCCCTGGTGAGAGTGGAGCCGAAAATTAGATGCTGCACATCACTGCATATTGTTTTTTTTAAATATCGACTGGAGCACTAGAATCTTCAACTGAATATGATCGTATGAGCCATGTGTTCCATGTATGCAACTGACATGTGAGTTTTTAATTACATCATGTGCTCCAGCAAATTCGTTTCCTTGCAACAAGATAGTTTGAATTCAAAACAACTGACCGGGACGGCTGAAGGACGTTTGTTGACACCGAGACTCAGACTGCTTGGACTTGAAAGGCGATGCAGGTTTCGTTTGGACTTTTCTCCAAGTGTGGGTTTGTGCTTTTCTTTTTTCACTTTTTAAAAATCGTTTTGCACATTCTTCACATTTCCTCACTGCAAGTTTTCAACTCTTGTTTGTATATCCGGCCCGTTGGTGTGTCCATGGAGCAAACGGAGTTGCCAAAGCCATTTGCAAAGACCACCGGTACTGAATCTTCCTTGGAACATCTCCTGCAACAGACTCCGCGACACAAGCAAGGCTGTCATGAACGCTTGAGACTGGCTGCTCTCTTGGGCCATCCATTGAGCAGGTTTGCAACTTTCCGTCTGCAAGTGGGGCGAATACTGCACACCAACATGGCCGAAAGCATGATTCTATTCCTGGTCACTGTGGAACTTTGCATGGGTATAGTGGAACTTGGAGTCGAGCATGGCTTTATTTGTATGTTTTACGCAGAAGTACCCAAAGAATTAGAAGGTGCCTTCCATGGCTTTCTTTGTGAAAGTGCAGAAGGAGAGCGGACAGCATCAATGCTGGAGAGCTGCGAAGTAATCTCGCGAGCGATTGTTGGAGTTTTTGCCGTCGAAATGCTACTCAAAATGGTAGTAGCACCATTTCAAATGATCGGAAACCCTTGGCATTTGCTGGATTTGATGGTGGTCTGCACAAATCTTCTCGTGTTTTTCATTCCAAGTCATCAGCGTCATAGCGAACGCCTCACTTTTGTCCTTCGATGGTGGCGAGTGATCAAGTTCTTAAAGTTGATAGAGGAGGAAGCTGTCCTTGTGGAAGAGCGCATCAGGAAACGGCTGGAAGCCGAAAAGGAGGAAGCAGAGGACTCAGCAGCCTTGGCCTTGTCCAAAAGAGGCCTTGTGAATGACAAGGGCGAAGCACCCGAAGCATCCACACCAGGTGGGACCTACTCTAACCTTGTCGAGGTAAGCCCACAAGGACACTCCCCGCTAGCTCCCAGAAGGACACCTGGTGCCGCTGCGAGATTCACCGCCAAGAGAGGTGCAAAGATCGGCGCTGGTCTTGGCACCGTGATTGGCACGACAGTTGGAGCTGCAGTTGGACTGCTTCCCGCGCTATTTACCTTCGGGCTGTCGATTCCAATTTTTGCAGCTGTTGGCGGGGGAGCTGGTCTCCTCATGGGAAGTGCCGTCGGGACCTGACCATTTTTTGGGTTTGCAGTTGGCACATTTTGCAGCCGCTTTGTAGCCAATCTTTTCCCGGGTGCCTTGAAACTCGATACAGGTACCTTGATTTACCTTGTAACTTTTTTGCAACTTGTATGTTGGTGGGTTGGGCCAAGGTTGGTGGTGCAACTGGCTTTGCTGGCCGATGGGTGCGCCCAAAAGCTGACTGAGATCGCAAAAAGCATCGTGCTTAGCTAACTACTTCCTAGTATAGCTTCTTGTTGCAAGTAGCGATGGCCTCCAACCTACTTGCGATGGCCTCCACCTAATAGCGTGGAATGTGCTTGCTTGCACTTTCACTCCATGAAAAGACATGCTCTGCTGATCTCTGCTGTGCAAAGTAACTAAGACAAAGAGTTTTGACGTCCTGTTTCCGCACAAAAGTTTTTCACAAGCTGTTGCTGGAAGAGGTACACTGCCAGCATGATCTCCATGATCTTAACAAGAGGGAACATGCAGGAACTACAACTCTCATTCGGAGCCTTACATGCGTCAGAGCTTGCAAGATTTGCTGCATTCGCGCTCACATGGTTGTATACTCGATCAGCTTGACGCATTGTCATGCAACACCCTTCACTCTTTTGGGTTCAAAACGTAGTGTCTCATTAAGCGCCCAATCTTGACGTGCAACATTGTGAACCAGAAGAAGGGAATTCCAGGCTTGTCAGACTGTTGTGTTTCAGTGGCTGCCTCAAACAAAACTGGCTGTATAAGTCCACACCGACTCGCATCATGTGCATGTTGTAGACTCTAGTCTAGCGACTCTAGCAGACCACTGGGTTTGGCCATGTCTTGGGAGCAAAACCCGACTTTGGAGCTGGATGATAGTGCTGACTTCGAAGTTCCCGCGAGTACAGAGAGTGAAGAAGAGGCACGGATGCATTTGATGTGATTGAGCCTCGTAACAATTACGTTGTGTGTGAAACTTGAGTTCAATCCTGGCAGGATGGTAGCAAGTCGCTGAGCAGGTGGGTTTGTTTCGGATTGCTAAGCCTATGCTGCTGTACAACTTGCGGCATAATTGTGGCCGTACTGCTGAGTCTCAAGGGTGCAGAGACATCTACCACAGCAGTGTCACTGACTGGGTGTTTAGGTTTCCAAGAGTGTCCTTCATACCCTTTGCCGTACCCGTGGGGAACGTGGCCACAAACGTACCGGTACGAGGGAAGCTTTCCGCCTGGCTTTGCTTGGGGTGCTGCTTCAGCAGCTTACCAAATTGAAGGTGCCTACAATGAAGGAGGGAGAGGCGCTTCCATTTGGGACACCTTTTCTGGGGCCAATACAGTTGAAATGCCAGGAGGGAATTGCAGCTATTGCTGCAAGGTCCATCCGTGCCCCGTCAATCCTGGAGTTAAAAACAAGGGGGACACAGGAAATGTTGCGACCGATAGCTACCACATGTTTCAGACTGACCTCGCTTTGATGAAGGCTATGGGTTTGAAAAACTACAGATTCAGCATTGCCTGGCCGCGTATATTCCCGGAAGGAGAGTCTTCAGGGGATCCAAATCCCGAGGCTGTGGAATGGTACAACAGCTTCATAGATGGGTTGCGTGCAGCGGACATCACTCCTTTTGTGACCCTTTATCATTGGGATTTGCCTCAAGCTCTTCTGAGCCCACCGAATCGCTCTGGCTGGTGGGCGCGTGACAATGACGGGAAACCTGTGGGTGAAGTGCTACCTCATTGGAAGCATTACGTCGATACGTGTTTCCGGCTTTTTGGGGACCGCGTGAAATTCTGGATCACATTCAACGAAGCCTGGTCTGCTACAAAGCTTGCAAGTGGAAGTGGTAAAGCCCCAAGTGTGAAGCCCTTTCTTGACCCCATGCTTGATCCATACATTGCAGGACACAACATGTTGAATGCACATGCAGCTGCCGTAGACATCTATCGCCGCAAATACCAGTCAAAGCAGAAAGGTATGATCGGAATAGTCAATAACCTGGACTGGCGAGAGCCAAAGCAGAACAGCGAAGCTGATATTGCAGCAGCTGAACGGGCAGCTCTTTTTCAGCTTGGCTGGTTTTCAGATCCTATTTTTGGACCCAGCGGAGACTATCCCCCTGAGATGAGAGCAATTGTGGGAAATGCTCTACCAATCTTCACCGAAGAAGAGAAGCACCTCTTGAGAGGAAGTGCAGACTTTTTTGGATTGAACAACTATGGTACTGGCTGGATTTCAGCCTCGAACGAGCCTGGCTGGGACTTTACATATTCATCTGTCAGCCACGAGGGCCTGGTCCACGGCGAGTCTGCTTGGCTTTACGGGGCAGGCTGGGGGTTGCGGAAGTTGCTGAATTGGGTAAAGAGGCGGTACAACAGCCCAGCCATTTACGTCACTGAAAATGGATGGTCAATAGCTGCTTCAACGGCAGAGGAGGCGGCCAATGATACTGGAAGACTTTTGTACTACGCAAACTACACCTCGGAGGTTAGCCGGGCGATCCAAGAAGATGGGGTGGATGTCCGAGGATACTTTGCTTGGTCCCTGCTGGACAACTATGAGTGGGAAATGGGCTATGCCGAGCGCTTTGGCATCACATTTGTGGACTTCAACTTTGGATTTGATCCAAATGCTCCAATTCCAAACTCTCATGTCCCAACACCTGGCCAGCAGCTGCGGAGACGAAAGAAATCAAGCTGCTTCTTAGAGCAGGTCTGGCGAAGTAATCAGCTTGTGGATCCGACAGCACCAAACCTATGCGTTGAACCGATCATATTTCAGGGACACTACTGGGATGCCCAGAAGTGCAGGCATTTTATCGACGTGCTTTTGGGTGATGCATCTGGTTCTGTCACCGGCGCGAAACCAGTTGGTAAGTTCTGCGACAATACCACAGATTTGCCATATGGTCCTGCAGTGCTAGCATTCAGTGGCAGTACAGCTCCTTGGTTACTAAGAATCTCAGATGGTGATGGACAATTCGTTTGAGACTGGATTTTCAAACTTGTTGCAAGGCCGGTAAGTAGTCTGACAGTGACGCAGTGATCATTCTGCGATGCGCACGTGATCCCTTTGCTTTGCCTTGGCCCTTTGCCTTGATCATTCTTGAGTCCCACTTTTGAACATCCTGAAACGAGGGATTCTATGTTCAGCCCATTTTAGCCTTGAGCATGCATTTGTCAGCAGTCTGCATCAGGCTTCTTGACAAATACTGGCACTGTGCTGCCCCCACAATGCATCGTTGGGCATAGAGGGGTTCCAATTATCAACGAATATGCATGAAGACGTATGAAGACACTTGAAGACGCATGCTATTTTCATGTTGTTTTTAGGTTGTTCAGAAAAGAGAAGAAAGAGCAGTTGTTGAACAAGAAGGCTATTATTTTAAAGAGAAACGTTGTAAGTCAAGAGAGAACGCTTTAAGATGATAATTTGATATAATTTGATTAGATAAAAGAGGGATAAACTAAACACAGAAGAACATATTTGAGAGGCGGGATTGATTCAGAGAAAACCTGAACGCAAAAGAGGAGAAGGAAGGTTGCTAAGCAAAGTGCATGCTCAAACGAAAAGCAATATATATATATATACGTATACTGCATGTTAAAAAGAGAAAAGGTCTTTTGGCCACAAGAAGGGTATGGGATTGATTAAGACAAGAGATCCAAGACGGAAGGGGCTTTCCTTTTGCAAGTTCACTCCCCCACCACGGCACCCCAACCCTGGCTCTTTGCTTTCCATTTTTAGGCATCAATGACTGCAAGGTGAGCCTACGGGCTTGCCGATTGTCAAATCCTATTAACAATTTCACAAGAGCCTCCAACCTAATAGCAACGGCCGCCAACCTAATAACGATGGCCTCCAACCTACTAGCGATGGCCTCCTCCCTAGTAGCGATGGTTTGCAAGACTTGGACACGGAGGGGTATTTATTAGGGGATTCTTTTGTTAAATATATATATATATACATACAGGTTTTTCTCGCTTTATTGCTTTTGCTGATTTTGCTGCTTTTCTGCTTTTGTTGCTTCTGTTTTTTTCCGCCGTTTTTCTTCGTTTTTGCTTTTGCTGTTTTTGTTTGTTTTCGGCGCTTTCTTGCTTTTGTTATATATTTGTTCATTTGCATTTACTTTTACTGTTTTTGTGCTTTTGCTGATTGTTTGCCTTTGTTGCTTTGTTGCTCTTGGTGTTTCCCTTGGTTTTTGCTTTTTTGTTTTTAACTCGGCTCGTTTGTTTTTGTTGCTTTGGTTGCTTTGCTGCTCTTGCTTTTCAGCTCCTGTTGCTTCTGTTGATTTTTGTTGCTGTTTGGCCTACTGTGCTGCACTTGTTGCTGTTCGGTCTACTTTGTGGTGCACTACTGCGCAACTTGCACACACGCGCACACTGGGACTGCGCTCAAAAAGCCCTACTCAAAAAATATGTACACGTAAACTTTTAAGGTTGGAGATGTGTTTTTAAGTCTTCGTTTAGAAGCGGGCCCCCAGCAGACTACGGTGATACAGCAAGGCAGCGCTAGATTCGCGCTAGGTTCAAGAAAAAGAAAAAACAAGCAGAGAGCAGGAAAAAGAAGAAGAAGCAAGACAAGAAAAAGGAAAAACAAGCAAGAAGAAGACGAAGAAGGAAGAAGAAGAATAACATTAATAACAATAATGCACATGAAGAAGAAGACAAGCAAGCAGAAAACATATTCTTACAGAATACAGAACTCAACGGAGGCTTTTGCGCTAGATCCGCGCTAGCACCGCGCTAGACGACGGTCAATTTCTTGACCACCTGCCCATCCAACATCCAAATCTTTCCGAGTCAGCTCTTACGTCCTTCCGATGTCGTTCTGGAAACTTCTGAGAACAAAAATGGGCAACAACTGCAGAAGTCCAGCAGCAGCAACAACAGCTCCAGCAGCTCAACAGGCCCCTGAAAAGGTCCGCGCTAGACACCTCTCAGAGCTTTTGCAGTTGACATGCCTTCATGTTTAACGTCCCCTGTGGTTTGAGTGTGGTTGGAGTTTAAAGGAGATTTAGAAGCGGGCCCCCATGGAATTGCGACTAGTGCACCATTTTGGGAAAAGACATTTTGGACACACACATACATACATACATACATACATACATACATACATACATACATACATACATACATATTTATCCTCATACATACATATTTATCTGTTTTTTGTCTTTACACGCGCATGTTAGGCAGAGAAGCTTCAATACGCTTTGCGAATATGTATGTCATGGTTGTTTTGCGGTGTTGGTGGGAAAAGACATTGAAGTACAGTACAGTACTGCTTACATGTGGTGCTTACAAGATGCATTAGAGCCAAATTTAGGCAAGAGCCAGAGGGAAGAGCCATTCCAAGGTAGCAGACCTGTTGTGAGCAACCCAAGGGTAAATTTCAGAGGAGGTAGGAACCATTCCAACATAGCGGCCATCACACGAGTAAACTTTAGAGGAGGAAGGGGTCATTCCAAGGTAGCAGACCTTTTGTTGTGAGTCATGTGAAGGTAAATTTAGAAGAGGTAGGAGCCATTCCAACATAGCTGCCCACTTGTGAGCCACCCAATTGTAAATTTCAGTGCAACGCACCCACAAAAAAGGGGCCAGCAGACCTTTTCGTGAGGGCAAAATTTAGATCAGAGGGGGCCATTCCAAGGTTGCAGACCTTTTGTAAGCCACCCGAGGGTCAAAATTTA